AAACCCTACTACATCCAATGAAGAAGTGGCGGACTAATATAACATTCGTGGTAGGGCTGTGCATTAATTTGCATCATACTGGCTCCTGCGTGTTCATGCGGATTATATTTACTGCATCATCTCTGTATATATCTCTATCAATAGACTCCTGATATAGACTCCTTATAATATTGATAGACTCCTGATATAATAATAATAATATACCTGATATATATATTATTTGGAAAAGGGTTATTCGTAATGGGAGAAATCAACATAAATATCAATATTATAGTGTTGTAATATTGTAACGCCCTTGCTTGCCTCTTAAAAGAGGTAGTGCACAGCAAAATGATGTCTGCAGTCTTACATCTAAATATAACGATAAGTACGCAAGCGACACAAGTAACTGCTGAATAACAAAGATTATTGGCCCAAATCTATTGTTCCTTAACACAGGATATGATAACTAACAGCAATGTGTTGTATTCGGTACTTTTGGCGCAATAAACTGAAACGCTGTCGTACTGCCTTACGTCTTATCTAGGCACGCACCTACGAGGGATAACTAACTAAATTATAACTGACGGCAGTGATGTGCAGCATCAGAACTCATGGCTTCTCTCCCTCACTCTCTCTGTCTCTGTGTCTCTTGCAGGCCTGTATCGATGAGAACATGACGATTGTGGAATACCTTGTAGAGAATAGCGCGAGCGTGAACAGCATAGACAACGAGGGATGGACGCCCCTGCATGCGGCCGCCTCCTGTGGTTACACGAAGATAGCAGAGTAAGTTTAAAGTTATGTTGTCTGACGATGTAAGCGTGGTAATGTGTGCTATTGTAATGTGAAAGCGTGGAACACTCATTGCTGTAGTATTTTAAAAACGTGTTTGATGATTTCGGATTTGATGTTGCATGATTGAAGCATTCCTTAATAATCTTATTTGACAATTTGATTTTTTTTTTTATGGAGCACATTTCCAGTTTCGCAGAATGGTCAACGCGGAAATGCTGAAATATTTATTCACGGTATAAGTTAGTAAATTCATGATGTGTGGGTAAGAAAACTGATATAAATGTATGCGTTCAATAAGATTCGCGTTCATTGATTGATATCAACTTTAAGACCAGGTGTGCCCGCTAAGGTGGCATCCTCTAGTTGGCTGCGTGAAGATCGAAGAGTGAGTTTGAGACATTGTTTTGATTTGTAGCAGCCTCCAGTCTAGTGGTTACGCAGAAGCTGACGCAGAGTGGGTTACACGGACCGCGTGGCGGCCGCTAGTGGTTACATGCATATAGTGCTAAGGTTGTCGAGTGAGTTATGTAGCGCACGTGGCAACGTCTAGTGACTAACTCGAAGATGGTATCGTGCGTGTGAACGATGGCGCACGTTGCATGCGGTGACCTCTCGTGAGAACACGAGGTTTGCAGAATGCGGGTGGATGCACAGGCTTCGCGTGTATGATGCAGCGTGTGTGTGGGGTGGGGGTGGGAGCGTCACCCTGGTGGTGGCCATCGTGGGGTCTCGTTGCATGGCAGTGTGGACGTCGTCTCTCTCCCTCTCCGCCTCTCTCTCTCTCCCCTCTCTCTCTCTCTCTCTCTCTCTCTCGCTCTCTTCCCCCTTCCTCTCCCCCCTCCCTCCCCTCCCCTCCCACTCTCCATCCCTCTTCCTCGCTCTCCCTTCCCCTTCTCCTTCTTCGCTTCTCTCACGCACACACATTCACCACACACACGTACGCGCGTGTAGTTCGCGAAGTGAGCTAAAAATATATGGCACCGAGTAACGGTCTGCTGCTCTCGCGCGCGTAGCCCTGACTCCAACTCCAGTTCATGTATATATTATCAAGAGTACATAATAGAGATTATATGTGATATTATCAGGATATAATAGAGACTATTATCTCTATTATCTACTCCTGGATATTATGCTGTATGTATATATATATATATATATATTATAATATATATATCAAGAGTCCATAATAGAGATATATAGAGATATAGAGACATTTATATAAATATATATATAGATGTAAAGAGTATATATTGGTATACTTCGCATCTAACGTAGATATATATATAATATCAGGAGTTAATAAAGACAAATTTGTCTTTATTAACTCCTGATAATATTAATATATTGCTGCAAATACATATATAGCTTGTGGTGCCTCACATACCAGAGCTGTGTGGGCGAAGGGGTTGAAACTTGAAATGTGAATCTTGGAATGACCTGTAAGAAATAGTTGGGTTGGAGCTAGTGTAGTAACATAAAGCAATAATGTTAATGTGCTATTGTAAGGATATTTCGGTGGGTCATTCTGCAGGCAGTTATTCACCAGATATAGTGGTATATATAATAGATATGTATGACATTGAACCATGGAGCCGTGACATTTTATACCGTAAGATAATTATGCAATAATATTCCAGGATATATATCATTCCTATGTGTTATTCATTCCCTATAGCTAGCACTAGCACTAAAACTAGCAATTCATTTGTGGAAAAATTCGTCCTTGGAACAATTTTTCCCTTGGCAGTGAATTCAGAAGGCAGTTGGACCATGTGCTGCCAATTCAACCCTACAACTATATATATAAAAAAATATTTATTTCTCCGTAAAATCTAAAGGGGATCCGATCGAAATTCCCTCAGTTCAGTTTTTTTACTCAGCGGCTGGAAACGCTGTTGAGTGTTCAAAGAAGCACCGCCAGCGTGGCATGTAAGAGATACCAGAAGTCACTAAACCTGGTAATGCTAGGTAAACACACCGTTGCCCCTACTAGCATTTAAGTATGTATAGACAGTCGGCGAAGGAAGCAGAGCAGTAAGTCACGAAGGAAGCAATCTAGCTAGAGCTTTGATGCTGTTCCTTCGTCGCGACCCCCCGTGCGACCCTGATCTAGGTCGTGCATGGGACTGAGGTTAGCAAAGAATCTCTGCTGGGTGGAGATTTATATTTATTCAGTCGCTGTGGACCAGGGGAATGGTCTGAAAGTACTGTACATGGAGAGGGAACTGAAACTAGGTGGAGATTAGTGTGTGGGTTTAGTTTGCTGGATATTGTACTCATTATTTTTCTTGTTCTTATGTTTTTGTCAGAGAAAATGATTCTGGGTTTTAATTTGAATTTTTTTCGTATAATTTACGGTGAATATTTGTCTGTATTTTTTCTCGAAATCTGATAGTGGATTAAACAGTTATTTTTAGCTCGCCTTGACATCGTCAAGATGAGCTATTGCCATGGGGTGTCGTCCGTCATACGTCTGTCCGTTCGTCAACATTTGGCTACGGTCAACGATAACTCAAGAACCTTTTGATCCACATGTTTCAAATTGCATATAGTTGTTACTTGTATGGGAGAGGTTTGAATGTCCTATTTTGGAGCACGCCAGTCGACCTACATCGAGCCACGACCACTTTTTGGCAAAAATGGAAATGGCCATAAGTCAGTTCAGGTTCAATGGATTTTGCTCATTTCTGGTATGTGAATGAATAAGAACTGGCCCCAAAACATATCACACAGGTTTTGATTTTTTTTTTAATTATGCAAATTATGTAGATTGTTAGCTCATCT